TCTCATTATTTGGTTGATTGTTTAAAGAGATGAGAGATGGGAGTCCCTGTACACCTTCAAGGCATGAGATCTGCCAGTAGGGATGCTGTGGATTTCGCAAGTTGCTCTACACGCATAGCTCCACTCAAATAAGCAAGAGCTTTTAGAGTAATATTTCAAAGAAACAATAAAAAGGATATAATCATATGTAATATTTAGTCAGTGTCTATTACATAAATTACTCCCCCATCCCCCAGTGCACTTCAGTGTAGTCTAAAGGATAGTAGAGCTTTTGTATTGATAGACGCTAAGATGTTGTGGTCTCCCTCAGTGAACAGTGGTATTTTGTACCAAAAGGCTATAAAAATATTTTACAACAATCCTATTTGTGGAAACAGGCAGGATTCTGTCCTGCAGCACATCTTCATCTGTCAAATGGTCTCTGTGCAGTTTTGTTTTACTGTTCATAATCATAAGTTGATGTTAATGTATAGTTGATGTTAAAGACTTTGTCTTTCGTAATGTTCCTTCTTGACAGGAGCAAAGTTTATTTAAATTGTTCATATTGCAAGTAAATGTGCACTCTACATTTGGGGCACACAATGGTCATCTATATGAAAAGAGGCTTTATTTTTTATTAATAGAAATGTTATTTGGAAGGTTGTAAATCTGAAACTTAGGTCACATACTGTATATGTTGTATATTTCTTCATCCCTGACTGTTCACCTCTTTTATTTAGACCACCATTGCTCCAGAGCACTAGCTCAGATATTAAAAGCAACAGTTAATGCTGAGCTTGTGGGGGCTGTTAAGATATCAGAAGGAGTCAGAATGGTCTTTCCATGTTAACTCAACCAGAGGTTCCAGAGTACCAGTCTAATGAAACTTTGATGGAATAGAATAGAATGGGTAGCTTGAGTCAAAGCTTGTGGAAATGCATTTTTGAAGATGGCTATAATGAAGATCATCAGTAATTCTGTACCACTTACATATATGGATTTCTTTCTTTTTATGGTTTTATTGTATACATTTAAATCTAAATATATCCTTCCATCCATTTTTAACCACTTTATTCAATATAAGGTCACAGGGGTGCTTGAGCCCCCCTCAGAAAGCAATGGGCACGAGGCAGTAAAAACCCTGGATGAAATGCCAGTTCATCACAGAGCATACACATACACACACTTGGCTTGTAGGAAAAATGGTCCAATTAACCTACGAATAGGTCTTTGGACTGTGGAAGGAAACCCACACAAACACAGGAAGAAGATATAAACTCCATGAAGATAGCACCCAAGGTCTGGAATTGAACCCAGGGACCCAGTGCTGCGCGGAAGTAATGCTAACCACCGTGCCACCCTATAAATATGTATGAGTATGTATTAATAGTAATGTGCATATATAGCTTTACCAAAATCTGGGAGGTTGAGCCAGCAAATGGAATTTCTCTTTGAGAGAAGGGGAAAGGTGAGAACGAAGTTTCAGGATAATTTTTGTTTCTGATCTCTTTCTGCTATAGGAGTTAAGAAACCCTATGTTGAGAATGCAGACAGAGAGAACAGTGTGATAATGGCCGTCTGATGTGAAATGAGAAACTATGGGCTTGGAGAGATCTTTAATCTTCACAGCCCTGACTTGTTCTCTGAAGCGGTCTCACAGTCTCCTTCCTGTTTCGCCAATGTAGATGGCTGGACATTTACTGCAAGCGATACAGTAAATAAGGTTGCTGGAGGTACAAGATGTCATCTGAGTGATACGGAATTGTCCTGAGGGGCCTTGAATGAATGTGATGTTAGATATGTAATTGCATGTGATACAGCGAGCTCTACTGAGAGGAGAAGTGCCTGGTGTGGATGATTGCTAAGGGCGGTCAAGGGAGCAGTGAACAAGTAGGTTACCGAGATCAGGTGATCGACGATATGAGATGATAGGGCGGTCATATCTTTTGTGTAGTTACTAAACTCATGTTTCCTTTTACTTTGTAAATACTCTGGAGAGGGGTGATGTGGTGTGGTGAAAAGCGTCCCCCCAGGCACAAACTGTGGCCGTGAGTCAGTAAATCACTTGATCTTATGTGCACGTTAGTGTGGTTGGTCAGTGTTGAGTGTGCGAAACCCATCCGGGCTCCTGTGATGTACGAGTGTTCCCCTTTCAGAAAAGCCTGCTCAGCCACTAAAACCAGTTTATCTCACAGACGTCTGGTATCGTGTATATGTTCCATGGGCTTTCATGTAATAGACATATTGGTCTATAATTAATTAGTTCTGTTTTATCCTTTTTATGGATAGGCGCAAAACTGAGCAATTCTCCAGTCCATTAGTACTTCCCTTGGCCACTATTAAAAGAGTTGTGTTTGTGACCTTGAATTGTTTTTCTTGTTCTTTCATTGACTGAACTGGTAAGGCTTCAAGCCCTGGAGATTTATCTTGTGTACTTGTAGTACTTGAAAGAGTTCTGTGTTTTCTGTGCTATGCTGTTTAATAAAGAACTACTACTGCTGCCTGAAGCAAGTTGTTGACTTTTTCCTTAATGTACACCTGAGTCAAATACTTAAGTACAGTACTTTAGTTCTGCCATTTACCTTTTTATCTAGAGGTTTACTGTCATTGTCTTATATGCATTGTACTTCATTCTTAATGGTTCTTTTCCTGTTTTAGTACAGGAAAACATTTTTTACACTTTTTTTACACATATTATGCAATATTCTGTTCTCTTTTTAGGTTTTTCTAATATCATATTTAATCTATACTTACAACTCATTGTGTTATTTTCTCTAACTGTTGTTTTTAATTTGTTTAAAGTGCTTTTGTTTTCCCTTATTTTTCCTAATTGATTTGTTGAACCATTTGGGATTTGGGATTTTTTTAGCTTTTGAATTAGCTTTTAAATTGTTTTTTAGCTTTTGAATTGGTACTCTCGGGATAAATTTGTTCTGTGTCTCAAGCAGAATTCTTTTAAATCTTTTTTTTTCCTCCCCGTACAACTTCCTTTTGGACTTTCTTTCTCTCCTTCCATTCTAGTTTATCATTCTTGTTCTAGATTTCTTTGTGGGTAGCAGTACATCTGACTGCCCATCCCACTGAGATGTATTCCAGCACATCTAGACAAATGGCCTTTGCCACGGAAAGGTTTTCCAGGTCTGTCCACATCCATTAGTTGTTTTGTCAAATTACCCTTTTAGTTTTTACAGCTTTGCCCGATGCTGGAAGGAATCCTGAGGAGGTAGTCATGTTCTTCAGTTTCTTGCCTAGTTGTCTGAATTTGCTGGATGATTAAAGTACTGTTCATACCAGTGTCATTTTTCCCCACGCGGACAACTGGGTTGTTTTCTGCCCTACCAAGGAGCCTGTGAACAATCAACAATATCAGTCAGCTTAGCCTCACCTTTGTCTCATTGTCTCTTCTATAAATTACAGTTGTTCCAGAGGATGGAGTCTTCAAAATCCACCACTTCATGCTGATAGTAGTTGTAGTCAAGGTGTGTTTGAAATTTCTGGTTGCAGTGGAGGTGTCATGGCCTTGAGCTCCCGCATCTAGTTGCAGGCCTTCCTCTAACTAGTACCGTTTCAGTAATTCATTCAGCTAGAATAAAAAAATGAGATTAGAGTGGGTTATAACGCATTGAAGGCCTTTAGCATAATAGGGTTAAAACAAATATTTGACCAGCCACGTCTGTTTATGTTTCAGGTGAATGTGATCGTCTAGAGATCTATGGCCTGTATGATCGACATGGAGATGTCCACATGCCCCACACCTCACCAAAATGGTGATGTCCACAGGAGTCCCCATGTCCCAAAGCAGGCCGACTCCATGCTGAAGGTCTATCTCTACCACACCCAGGATGGGACAGATGGGAAGACTCTGGGCTACATTCCAGGAGAGTATGTGGCGGAGGAGATATGTATCGATGCAGCAAAAGCATGTGGTGAGTAAAAAAAAAAAAGGTAGTACAGTAGACCCATCATGATGATAATGAAAAAAACCCAAAGAGAAAAGGGGCAACTGAAATGAGCATATCCATTTGTGTGTTTTTTCTTTAAAAAAAGATCCTTAGATTGAAATGAGCATATCCATTTGTGTGTTTTTTCTTTAAAAAAAGATCCTTAGATTTCAGGAAGACACATTCCATAACAATTTGAATTGCCATTTTAACTGAGCAGCTCACACAAAGTCAGTATTGCTTTTTGAAAACATATTTGAGTATTGTATCTGTTAAACAGTTAATATACTGTACTTATACCTGGCTAGACAGTAGTATAGCAGTTGTATTTTTTAAATGCATTTAATAATGTATGCACACTTTTAATTGGGCTTATGACAGCATAATTTATCAATTCTAAAAAGGTAGTCTAAACACCTTTGCAGATGAAAATTTAATGTTATGCACAGCACATACAGTGGATATAGAAAATCTACACATCC